TTGTATGTGTATGCAAGTTGCATCAATTTGCTTTACTTCATAAAAATTACTTGTTTCTTTCTGACGAGTAAACTGGGATGAATCTAAGGAATCTCTTTGATATGTTTGACATCATAGTTGATGCACTACTTGTATAGGATAGATTGAGAATAATTTGAAGTAAGTCGAAACGTACGGACATTATACGGACATTATATTCTTTTATATTAAAAATGGACTTTTAAACATATCTATTGTTATATTTGCGCACCAAATACTGCGCTGACTCCTACTTCTCTTTTCTTGTTTTTAATTTGTTAATGTATTATTTAAATATTTATATTAAATATTTATATTAAATTATATTTATATTAAATTATATTTATATTAAAAATCACGAATTTTTATTAATTGTTGTCATTCTTCAATTATCTCTGAGCCTCCCGGGCCCCCGGGTCCCATTGTAGTTATGAAAATTTATTCAGGACGGACAGTCTTTATCGGTGGCCGAAGTTATAACATCGATGTTATGAAACTGACTAATCATAATTATTTCACTGAAGAATGAATTGATTGTAATTGGCCATGTTTTTCGAAAGATTTATAACATCGATGTTATGACTTCAATGTAAATCGAGCTGTATAAACGTGATCGATATTATAATATTGGAGCGCATATATTTGAAAAGATATATTTTTATCCTTTTGTTTTAATAATGTTTTTATAATATTTATTTATTAAATAACTAATAGAAAATATCTTGTAATTTTCTGGCATCACTATATATAGAATATCTCGATCGAAAAAAAAAATCATCGTTTAAGTCTTGTTTTTGTTGTTGTTTTATTTGAAAATTTTTTTATGTCGATAAATTTCAAAATAATAATTTAATTCTTTGATAATTCTTTGTCTATTTTCTATTTTATTTTCTATTTTCTAATTAAGAACAAATTAAAGTTTGGAACATTCTTGAAGCGATTTTTTCAAAGTTTTTAATTTGGCCCATTTCTTCTTTTGCGCAGAGCTATTTCTGTAGCTTCTGTGAGCCAGACACAAACAAAAAACACCGATAAAATTCATGCATCGGCATCCTTAAGGTAAATTTTCACGTGCTGCTCTAACTGGTTGTTTCAGTCAGTAAAAAAGTCAGTAAAAAGTGATCCTTTTTGTCGCTAAAACAGCCGGTTTGAGCAGTTCATGAAAATTTACCTTTATGCTCGAAAAACCACCGAACTACACACACACACACACACACACGCGCGCGCGCGCGCATATATACATCTATACATATATATGTATTTGAAGAAGAAAACTCATTGTTCAAATTCTGTTTTTTTTTCATCGATTCAAAGTTTTTTTATATCGACATAAAAAAATAAAAAAAAAATGTAAATTTTTAATCATGATTTTCTATTTTCTACAATAATTTAAATTTTGTAAAAAAATACAATTTGTTAGCTGTTGAACGTATTTTATATATAGGATATTCAATCGACAACGTTCGTGGGTAAATAAAATGGATTAATAAATTAATTGAATCGAAAAGTCCTATATCATTTTGCAATTTTTGCAATAATTAACAAGATATTAATTACTAAAAATTATCAAATATTGATCTTCAATAATTTTTTTCTCAAATACTATAAAAAAAAACAGTAAGAGACAAAAATTGTATATTTTCTTCTCATAGAATTTTAAGAATTTTTTCAGAATTTTTTATCAACTTTTTAATACTGCATTTGCTTATTCCTAATATGAGAAAATTAAATATTAAAAAATCTTAAAAAATTCTTTAAAAAGTCTCAGAATTTTATAAGAAAAATTTAATAATTTTTGTTTTGCTGTTTTTTTTTTATAAAATTATATTTAATATTAAATATAATATTTAA